ACAAGGCAAACACAAAAAAAAAAAAAAAAAAAAAAAAAAAAAAAAAAAAAAAAAAAAAAAAAAAAAAAAAAAAAAAAAAAAAAAAAACGCGGCGGCTTGGCTTTATACGCACTGCCCTTAATACCGAACATTGAACCAGTTATCAGCTGGTGATGAGCTCAATATTTAATATAAAATGTGAGCTTGATAGGAATATTACAATATTAATGATTTCAATGATCTAAATGATACATGGGAGAAAGTTATGCTGGCAGTATATTCAAGTGTTGGGCGCTTATAACATGTAAGTGAAAATCTCTTCTACCCACTTAAGTGTTTATTACCTTTCTATCCACATATTTGCTAACTCTTGCACGGGTGATATAAAAAATGTGATTTCATTTCTTTGTTGACGTGAAATAAAAATTTCAAAACACTCTTACAAATCTACAGCCATAAATTTGATAAAAAAACTCTTCATTAAATACACAAACCTACATACATATGTCTGCATGTCTATAATTATTAAATAATAAAGAAAAATAAGTAAGGAAGGCTAAGTTTGGGTATAACCGCACATTTCATACTCTTGCAACTTGCAATACTTGCAATGTGGTAATACTTTCATGTATATAAGGCTTGTTAGTTATATGGGTTTAGAGCGAATTTTCACACGATTTTATTTATTCTAAGCACAAATGTGCACCGTTATAAGAAAAACCCGCTCTCTCAATTTTATTAAAATAACTCACATATTGGCCGATATATGCGGTATAAAGCCACCTGTATGCTCGAAAATCTTTATATCAGGTATATGGGAGCTAAAGGAAATATTCAGCTCATTTTTAGCACACAGATATACTACTATCAGTAAAGGATGTACGAACTATATACCTCACACATTGACCGATACTTTCTTGAACAAACTTATTATACTCTGTAGCAACATGTTGCAAGTGTATAAAAATATTAAATAATAAACATAAACAATTGTAATAAAGCAGATTAAGATAGCACTGCTAAACGTTTATTGCACGTTGCGTTGTCACTTTGAGATCGCTCCTAAATGGAGATCAAGTGAGAAGAATGTCAGATAAACAGCCAGTTAGTTAGTTGGCGTTGATAAGAGTTTGTATATACATACATATGTACACAAACGTTTAAAGTAGTCAACAGCGGAGCGTGTTGTATGCTGCTACAAATACATACATATATTTTAGATAGATATATACGTATATATAAATATAGCTGGTTGTATATAACTTAAATATGAGCTTGCATCTAGCCATGTTGCGATCTATCTGACTGTCAGTCTTTTTCTTCAATTATTTGCTCATTACAGCAACGTTAAGCGCTTGCAGAAGACATAAGCGATAGTGAATTGAAAATGTGTCGCTTGGATTAAGTAGAAAATTGCTTAAAGAAAAGAGTACTGTATTTTATAAGGCATATATTGTAAATATGATTATATGGGTATCTCGTTTGTATAATTTAGATAATGTAGACTGTTACACATATTTCTTTATTTATAGTAAAAGCTGCTAAGATTTACTATTTTTAGAACAAAATATTAATACAATTTACAAGTGATTTTTTGCCCGATTTTTTACAAGAGTTTTGCCTGAAGCTAAAAACTGGATTATCTTATATAAATATGTAAATATAATATTTATT